CTGTACAGCACATTTCTGCTGGTACCCTGGTAAGAGAGGGCTCGGACAGACAGCGAACTAAAAGCACATCTTACTTCTGCCTCTGTAAACAACTGGTCTGGAAAAGGCAGCACAGGAGCTCCCTAGATGAAAGGAAAGTAAAGATTTACAGAACTCAGAAAAGTTACAAAACCTTTGCTAATGTTTATTGTAGCTTCCCATGGCAGCCTCCAGGTGCGGGCTGTTAGGAGAAAAATTGTCCAGTTTTGGATAAGATGGTCCGTAATGACTCCACTTGTAACTTCAGGCTCTTTCTCAGGCGCTGAATGGCTTTGTTTCCACCAGTGGGTTCTGTGGTGGCAGCTACTAAGCTTGTTTCCAGTTCCCAGCTAGGACACCACAAGAACAGCTTTCAGCATGAACGCCTACCTGACAAAGAGGAAAGTTTAAAGGATCTCTACACCCGAAAGAGCCGAAGCTATTCATACTCTCTTTCTGCAGAAAGCAGTCAACACAGCTCCAGGCATGGAGGCTTCTCTTCGGCTGGACTGCAGAGCAAGTATCCCACCAGCCAGACCAAGGCTCTGCCAGCTAAATCAGTAGCCATGAGGAAAGAAGGAGTGGACCATGCCCATCCCCTGAAACCAATTTTTCACCACAAGGGTGTGAGTCTTCCAGTGATCAACACAGCACCACTCGGAAGTTTCCCATACATGGAGGAAGCTCCAAGTAGTCAGCCTAGCTCAAAGAGCAAAGAGAAGCCTCCGGCAGGGAGGTATCAGCTAGCTGCAGTGCTCCCTCGTCAGACAACAGAGCCTAAACAGTCAGCCTCCCATCTATACAGGAGAGAGCTGGCCTACATCCTAAAGTTGGAGGCAGACAGGCAGAATATGGAAGAGGAAATTCGAAAGAAAGAAGCCCTCCTTAAAGAGAAGCTGAGGAGGACAAAGGAGCAGCTTAGGAGGATTCAAAGAGAGAAGGAGCTTGTTGAGGCAGAGGAGAGAAGAGACAGGGAAGTGAAGAAAACCCTTGAGCAACAGGGTGCAAGGTACCCCGAAGAGAGAACTTTCAGATTTGCTGCCAGGCCAGGTGCTGGGGTCTTCAGTGGGGTGCAGTCCGCAGAGGCCACCATCCCCAGGCCTGGCACCATCCTCCGCCCCCAAGAGCTGGCTCTGGGGAAACTCAAGAAGGAACGGTTGGTGGCCAGCAACAGCAAAATTCGAGACCACATACCCTCAGAGCGTTTAGCCTCTTGTTCAGCGCTGGCCCCAAAACGTAGCTCTTCTCCCTCTGCCCTCTCAGACCGAGCTTCTGGCAACCACCTGTCCGCAGGGGTGCTGTGCATGCAGGCTGCCAGTGCTGTGGAGCAGGGGGAGCTTGGACAGTGCAGCTTCTGCAGACGTAAGTTTCTCTGCACCAGGCTCGAGAAGCACATGAGTATCTGCGGCAAGAGCCAAGGCTCCCAGAGGAAGGTGTTTGACTCCAGCAGGGCCAGAGCTAAGGGAACAGAACTGGAAGAGTATCAGCAGTGGAAAAGCTCAGAGAACCCTCAGGTAATGTGCAGTCCCTTTGCCTCCCTTGATCCACATCTACTGGTCATGTTCTCCTTCCACCTTGACATCTAATTCTGAGATGTGAGCGCCTTCGTGTGTACATGGGGCTAAGGGGTACAGTCCAGCTACTGCCGCTGGAAGGCTCTTGCCGAATGGATAAATGGATCCATTTAACATCTAATGGATGGGGGCGGGGGTCCTGACTGACTTGTCTTCGTAACGTGTTAAGGGTGTACTCCTGGAGAAAGTTTGCTCCTTGCTGTACTCAGGATGCAGACTGTGTTTGCTGCTGTACAGCTCTGTGACACGAGGGGCTGCCGGGAACTGACTGGAAGTCCAGGCAATGACACAGGTTATCCAGACAAAGGCAGTGGAAACACGCGGCTTTGTTCCTGCAAAGCAGCTACAGCCACCCTCTCTGGTTCCTTGGCCCTACTGCTTGCTTTTCTGGTTATTCTCAAGCTCTTTCTAAGCATTGATGTCTCCATCAATATATTCTTCAAATCCTCCTTGGTGCCGGTCTTTTTGATCCCCTTTATGGGACTTGGAGGGTTTTGTATCAACAGGGAATGCCCAGGGACGGGGTGACCTGGCTTGGACTCCGTGTAAGAATGAGAACGGAGGCTGATGCGGCTGCTTTGTCTTTCCCTTCTGCAGAATAAGCCACCCAGAAGGAACAACTGGAGGCAGAAGCACGAGGTTTTAATCCAGACCCTGCGCCAGGCCCGCCAGGTGCAGCAAGTCCTCTCCAAGGGAGGGAAGGTGTCTGATCTGCCCCCGTTGCCTCCCATTGAAAACCCAGACTACGTTGCCTGCCCTTATTGCAGACGCCAATTTGCTCCCCAAGCGGCTGAGAGACATATTCCCAAATGCAAAACCATCAAGAGCAGGCCCCCGCCCCCACCGCAGAGACGGCGCTGCTGAGGTGTCGTCCAACTGTGCCCGCCGCCGTGGTTCCCTGCCCGTTTTCTGCCAGCCACAGCCACTCCTGCTTTCCCCAGTCTCACACCAACTGTCAGTGTTGAGCCTGTCCAGCAAGCAAACAGCTCGGGGCTGCAAGCGGAACACCGGAACGGGTGTACTTTGATCCATGCCCTGGGTTGGCTCACCTCCCACACCGTGAGCTCAACGTGGAGGCTCAGCGTGAACCCAAGGCTGGAGTTTTCCTGCGGGCCAAGTTGGTAGGGACCTCTAAAACAGAGGGCTTGTACCTTTCCTTGAGGTTTATTTTCATCTTAGTTGCTGCAATGGTAGGGAATTATGGCAGAAGTATACCCCTTCTTTCGCTTTCTTCTCGAGATGTAAGGTAGTTCTTGGTGATTTTGGCCTCATACTAAATGTCTGGTTTTGTCACACCCTTCTGAAAGGTCTTTTGGGGGAAATGGGTGTCCTGCAGTCCCCGTTAGAGAATCATCTGCTTAGAAATGTGCAGGAACTGTCACCAATTTTAAGTCAGTTATTTTTCCAGGTTCTGATTTTTAATATATTAAACTACTGTTGCGTAGAAGTCATTTTAAATGGTCATAGAGTGGTTTGTGTTCTCAAAGAAAGAGCGACTACTTTGTGGGAAAAAGTTGCAACAGGAAGCAAACAAGGAACAAAGAAGTCCCACCAGCTCCTTTTGCAATTCCTTCGGCACCGCAGCAGCAGCTCCTGGAAATGCAGGAAAAGATTAAAAGCGACTGAACTGGACTACTCAAAGCTGAATATGAAAAAAACGCTCCAGCCTTCAATGGGGGTGGCCTAGATTCCTGACAGAAGTTGGAGAGCTTCTGTCCTAGAGGTACGTGGGCAGAAATCCCAAACCTAGAAAACACACAGGTCCCAGAGAGGGTCAGTGCTGCGCTGTGCCAGCCAGGTGTAAGCACCTGCAAACCTAGAGAGGAGAGGAAAACACTCAAAACAAGGGCAAATAATCTGCTATATCCAAATTGATCGGAGAAGACCGATGCTCTAATATCAGAGCTTTGAAATGCAGGGTGACAAGAGGTAGGAACGGGCTAAACCAGAAGGTTTATGCCTGCCTTGGAATATTAACTCCGTTTCCCCGCACTATGTCTTATCGACTGTGTTTAGTGGACCCTAAGCGTCAGCGGAGGGCAAATGGTGACTGAGGTAGGTACACACAGAAAAAGCTTTTGGTACTGTAAAATAAACCCATCTGCTGGAGACAAGTGACAGGCAAACAGCTAACACCGAGACTGCACCTGTAGATCAAACAGAAGTTATTAACATTAAATCACCGGGCGGCTTCGTTTGTTATCTTTGTTTCAGAGCTGACCAGGGGCAGTTCACCCCTCTTTGCTGAGCTACTGTTTCAGACCAAGGCAGACAGCAGTATCCAGAAAGCCTCTAACTGGTTTATAACTTGGTTTAGCCAAAGCATCAGGCTCAGCAGATGGATTTACCCTGCTGCCTTGCTGTTATGGTCAGCGTTGCCCTGGTGCTGCTCGGGCTGTTACTTATGCCAGCTCAGCTTCCCCTGCTGCTACCGCAGTACAAGTGCCCTCTCGGAGATGTGCTGCATTTCCAGTATCCAGATCTCTGGTGAATTTTAGGTGTTCAGCCCAGCTCTGCCTCTCAAGATGTTTCACAATTTACTTTCACAATTTACGCTGCTAAGAAGTCAGAAGTAAAGTGTGCGGGAACAGTTGGCTGAGCAGGTGTCCGTCAGGCTCTGGCTTCTGTAGGCCTCAATGCTCAGTAGAAGCTGTTCCCAGAGAAACAGGTACTTCTTCCCTTTGAGCCTCTCTCTTCCCATTACTCATTTCCCACTTGGCACTCAAACTGTAGAAACAAACACACACACAAAAGCCTCCTGACGTCACTAGGAGGCGATGCAGCCGCAAGAGAAATGAGGTGTTTTGTTGTTTGTTTGTTCTTTTTTTTTTTAAAGAAGGGACATGGAACCTGACTACTTTTTTTTCACCATAGCAAAACCCCTGCAATCCCCTTTCTTTGCTTTCTATAAGCAAAACAAAATCCCAAACAAACCAGAGAATGCCACGAAGGCAGCTGACTATATGCACATTTCCCCTTCCTCACTTGGAGAGAAAAAAAACACCCCACTCCGAACACAGGAGAATGAGTTTAAACATTTATTTAAACAGAAACTCCAAACCACTACACCCTTTAACCTTTCAAAAAAAGACGACAAACTAGTTTTCAGCCAGAGTGTCAGAGCAGGCGTAAGTTGTGTTCCACTATAACAACTCGGTAGTAATACTAGCAGAAGACCGACACGTACAGAGCTAGCACTGCAAGAAGGGGAGAAGTAAAGAGGGTTGGAAACTGCTCAAAGGCACTTCTGCCCACTTGCCCTTCTGTTTTCAGCCCAAGACAAAGGTGCTGGCTTTAAACTGCTTTTTTTGGTTGCATAGCTGGCTGGTGTGAAGTCTGTGGTCTGTAACAGGCACAACCCGGGTAGCGTGAATCCTCTAAGGCACATAGGAGATTGCGGAGCACAGGGCATCCTCTGTCAGGGACCCTAGTCCTCCACTAGATCCAAGGGGAATCCAGTCTGTGCACCTAGCTTCCCAACTGCGGAGCATTGAGAAATGAGGATAGCAGTGCACTGCAGGAGAGCGACTACCATCAGCTTGGTGCTTGCTTATTGGACACGGCTCAGGCTCAACTCTTCGCTCCTCAAAGGCACTGCCGCAACGGGACCAACTCTTCCAACCGCAACAACCACCCGCAAGCTGGGACCCTAACCTGAGAACTGGCTCCAGCGCACACCGGGGAAAGGAGAGCGCAGTCACAAGGGCAACCACGCGAGGTGGCCACGCCAGGCTGCCCAACGCTCACCACCTTCCAGGAGGGCTGTCCTCCTAGCCTTCCTTCGGGAAGGATGGATGGGCACACCGGTACGATCCTTGCCCTGGACATTGCACTGGAGGGACTGCGCTTGGTTCAGCACAGGCACCGAAGAAGTACTTGAGGAGCGTAAGGCACAAGCAGAATGGTTTGGCATCCACCTCTAGAGACAGATGGGGAACACTGGCTCCCCTGGAACAGCCTCTCAAAAGAAGTCTAGGAGAGGTGACAGGATATCCAACTCCACCAGACCGAAGGGAATTTGAGTGACATGCCATCGATGGGGATGGATTAAGCCTGATGAAATTACAACCCCACTCTCACACCAAAGGCGAGAGGGACTCAGGACTCCTCAGAGGCTTCACGTAAGGCAGGGGAGGGTAGCTGCTCCCAGGGATCCTACCGATCCCAAAAGCGTAGTTCAAAGTCAGTTTGCTAAGAAATTTAAGGGGAATAAAATCAACCTCATTCCCTGACAGGAAATGAGGAAATCAGACCATGCCTCTTCCCATCTCCAATTTTCTTGGGAAAGCCTCTCGCTTCTAGAAATAAGGTGAATTCCAGACAGAGACTTGATCATTCATGGTCATCGGGGAAGGCTGCATCCTGTGACCATGGAACTAATGACCTATTCTGGGTAGGAAACCGCATTCCAGCTTCATCAAAACACTGAGTGGAAAAATACTGATTCTTCCCACACCCACGCAGAGCGTGGGCACCAGGGGCTGAGCGGAACAGAAGCTAAGCAGGGAGCAGCTACGGGCTTACGCCAAGAAATCAGAAGCTCTGGCACCCAAACCAAGTAGAACAGCTGGAGCAAGAAAAGGGTGACTTAGTCTGAGGCCCAGATGCTTGTCATCCCGTTGGGAAGCAGGTGGTCTGGAACGGCGAACCAGAGATCCCATCTCGGTCAGTCCCCGCTGCCGCTATTGGAAAGGACAGCCGATTCGCTCATCTCGGTGCACTGCCTGGAAGCTGGAAAGCTCTCAGCACCCAGAATAAAGCCTTTAAACTCTGTCTATACAGGCCACTGGACACAGCCAGATGGCCAGAAGCTGTGCCTCGAGGCCAGGGACATGATGCCTACCATTATCTCCCTAACAGGAAGATCTCTGCTGCCTCCAGAATGAGACATTCCCTGCTCCCTCTGCCCCTGAGCAGAGAGGAACAGCCTCACCAGCTGGGCCTTACCATGTGGCAGGGAAAGGATCCTAATCCTTCACCCCTCTGAAGTGAAGGTGGCGAGTCTTAGGGTTCAGCCAGCTTCAGTACAAAACATGTCTCCTCCTCTCCTCCAGAGATGCAGTGATGAATACTGGGGTCCCAAAGGCAGCTCCCAAGAAGCAGTGAAACAATGAAAGGGCTGCAAACTGCTACTGGAGCCGTTGCCATACCGGGGCCGTTCTGCCTCACATGCAGAATTGACAAATAAGGTACAAAGAGGAGCTGCTGCTGCTTCAATCACTGAGCTGGCCTAGAGCTCAGGGGCCCTTCCCCTCTCAAACTCACTCCTAGTTCATATCAAACGTACATGGGTGCTGCTCTGGAGCCTCCAGCCTCGCTCCTTGTCTGCGAGTGACCTGAAGCCAGGAAAGCCGCTCTCTGCAATCGGTTAGTGTGCTGTGAAGTTAGATGGATCCCAGTGGGCTCAGGAGACTAGAGGCTGGAGCGGCACGAGTCCGTTCCCAGGAGACACCAGGAATCTGAATCCAAATCAGGTTTCGGATCCACTTCCATCTCCTCTTTGGCTGTCTGTGTTCCTTTGGAATGAACCTCCACCTGCCAAAACACACAACAGTTGTCCAAACAGCTCCAGGACTAGCTGCAAAGAAGCTAGGAGCCGCACAAGGCACAGTTCCTGTTCTCCACAGTCACTTGGGACTCCCCACGACATCTCTCTGCCTGTATTTTCTCACCAGGAGAAATAAAGGGGAATCCCAGGTCCCTCAAGGACCGGGCTGTCTTCACAGGAAGCTCTCTTCTTGGCTTCATTTCTGCTGCTACTACCAGAGCCTACACCAGCAGCTCAAACAAGAGACTGGCACTGTGCTCAGTCCCCCCATTCTGCTCTAAGAGAGCTGTTAAAAGCTGCTTCCTTCTGCACAGCCTTTGCAGTGTATGCAGCAGCCAGGATCAGCATAGCGAGCCCTGCGCATGGATGTGCACCCAGGTAATGGGTCCTTACCTGCTGCATTCCCTCCGTCTCCCTGCAGAACCGCTGGAGTTGGGCACTCAGACGAATGGTTTCCTGCTGCAGCTTCTGCTGATCGTCCAGACACTGTAAAACCAGGCCCCGGAGGTGCGCCACCTCCCCTTGCAGAGCACTGCACACGCAGCCCGCACCAGGAGACGCAGCCTTCCCTTCACTGCACGGCAAGGTCGGACTCAGGCAAGTAGGCTGCAGAGACACAGAGAGAAGTCAGGGCAGGTTTGAGTGCAAGGCCAGGAGTTGCATAGGCCATGAGAAAAAACCATACACAGAGTCACCCCGGCTCATTTCCCGACTTCCCAAAATTCTAGCATCCAAGGTCAGCAAGCTACTAATTGTCATGTCTTCAGTACGAAGCCACTAACTTCTTCCTTTTTCTGGGAAAGCTGCTCCTGTCCCCCTATCACCAAAATCCATCTGGTTTATCCCCCCTTCCCCTAAGCTCAGGATCTGTACCTCCTCTTGGAACAGAAAACTCCTAGAATAAGGTAATCTCACAGTTTGTAATTTCTCAGTGATTTCCTACACCAGTTCTTCTTCCTATCCCACAGCAATTTCTGTTTCCTGAATTTCTATCTTCTGCTGGGCTTCTGGGCCCTAGGCTTTACTTTTTTTTCCAATTGTATTAACCATATTTTTCCACAGAACTGATCTCATTATTTTCAATCTGACCAAGCCCCAGCTTTGTGTTCCAGATTCCTGCGAACTGTTCTCTTGGCAGCACCATCTCTGATTATCAATAGCCCTCTTTTCCTCATCCGGATGAATTAGGCCAATCCAACACCCTCTTCTCAGCTTTCCCCATAATTCAAACATTGCCATTTATGGTCCCCAAAAGCTTTTGGCCAAACATTCACTTGGATAACATTACCCAGGACTCTGTTTTGGGCTTGTTTAATCCAACAGGTTCCTCAGAGGCCACTTTGAGTCCATGAAGTTTCTGGTAAGGGAGAGTCTCCTTCTCAGGCTCTGAAGATGCCATGCTCAGAGGAAAGGGGCTGTCAGGCATGGGGATGAATTCAGCGTTCTCCAGCTCCTGGATACACAAAAGCAACACCGTCAGGCCCGCCCACTCTCCTGCAGCAGACTTCATCTCCTCAACCAAGGCACCGACACCCTCTTGTGGTAAAGGTGGCAGCGAGGCCTAAGGGGCTCCCCACGCAGCACAGCCCTGAGAACCTTTCAGAGCACCCCTTAACGGTGGAAGGGGCCACTCGATCTGGCCCCAGCCCGGATCCTGTTGAAGGCCTTTCTGAGATAGGACATTACCTTCCGCAGCCAGCCGGGGCAGGAGCTGCTGTCACCACTGCTGCCTCCCTTATCTTCTGTGGTGCTGATCCAGCCCCCCAGCTCGCGATCTGCTTCCATGGTTCCCCGAAAGCCTCCGCTGGGATTGGGGGTCTCTGCTTCCTGTTCGTTATCCTCTTCCTCTCCTCCTCCAGTTGTGCAGCTCTGAGCCACTAGCAAACAAGAACGAAAACTTCCTACTTTCCCCAACTCTGCTACTCCTGTTGCCAAGGCCCAGCTGGAGCAGAGGAGATGCAGAAATTGGGGCTGTAGGGCCACAATGAGAGCACATGCTACAAGCATCTCCCTCAACAACTTATCTCCCAACACTCCCTGCAGGTCTCCCCAGAAGGGCTTGTGTGCAGCACTCTTTTGCAGCTTTGTGGTCCCAGCCCTCCCACAGGTCCAAGAAACTGGATTCCATCTCTCCAGCAGCTGCCCCATATTCCCCCTTCCCTCATCAGCTCCCTTCAGTGAATTCCTCTCAGCTTTTCCTTGTCAAACTGAAGCTCCTCAGCTACAAATGCCTTGCCGCATTGGTGTTCTTCCTCCCCTGTTTCAATTCTCTCATTCCCAGCGTTCGGCCATCCCTTCCCATGCCTGGTACCAGCTAGATTTCCTCCCTTTGAGCTCTGCTGCAAGGCCTGTCAAACACAGAAACCATGCCGCGGGGCCAAACTGCACCCATTCCAACTGACCACTGGACGGACTTAAAGCACAGCTCCCCAGGGCAGGTTACTCACCAGTGCCAATGGACAGGCCACTGCTGTTGGATCGGATTGTTTTAGAGTTCAACACCTTTTCTGCAAGGAGAGAAGCAGGCTTTCAGTTAAAGCGCCACACGGAAAGCAAGACAGCTCCTACAAAGGTACACAACAAGGCCAAAGTTCCAGGCTTAGAGCTCGGGGCAGCTTGCCACATTCCTCTTCCCAGGCAGGATATACAGTCCAGGCCCTGGCAAGCAATACACCATCATAACCAAGATCCCAAAATTTCAACCTAAACTTACACTTACCAACAACGATGATGGTGTGCCAGCCACGGCATGACAGGTCTGGAACGTGATGCAACGATCCAAATATTGGCCGAGGCCACGAGGTACAAATATCCGAGCCATGAGCTCTCTCGGTTGATGTCATTGCCAGGCGCCCATTCCCGCCATTACCCCAGGCAAAGATATGGTTGTCTGAGGAAAACAGAGATTCAGGAGTTGCAATTCCCTCCCTCCTGGCCTGTAACTGCTATCCCAAAGTATCTAATCCACCAGCTCCATTTTGCCAGCGGGAGAACAAACTGGTAACGAATCTAACAAGCAGCCACCACGCCAGCAGTCTGCAGCCCCAGGGACAGCAAATGCTTGGTGCTGGGACAACAGGGCCAGAGAGCCCCAGGCTGGAAGGATTCCTTTATTTCAGTGCAGCACTGCGGGGGTGGTCTAAGAAACGCTCAGGGGAGCCAGTTAACCACCCTGCAGACCTAGTTCAAAGGAACCCACCACAAAGACCCACTCACCGTCGGTAGCAGCTATGGTGAATTCATCTCCACAGGAAACCCTGATCACCTGCTTACCCCCCAAGGGGCCTCCCAGCAGGTTAATTCCCAGGTGCTTCTTATAGTCCCCAACACCAAGCTGTCCGCACTTGTTGGAGCCGAAGGTCAGCAGGCGGCCTCGCTCTGAGAGGAGGAACGAGGAGACAGTCACAGCAAGGGCCCAGCTCTAGAAGCAGCCATACATGCAGGGAACCCACAGCAACAGCCCACGAAGGACTCTGCTCAGAAGCCAGCCAGGCTGGGAGGGGACAGTGCCAGCCAAGAGGAATGGCTTCAGCCCAGAAACACCTCCCCGGTTCCTTCTCTCATTGCTCCCCTTTTCTGATGTTGAAGGCTGGGACTCCTCACAGCCCTCTCACTGGTGTGGCTTGGGCAAAGCCTAACTCGGTCATAAACAATTCCTCTGCTATCCCAGAGCATCATTCTTCCCCAAACAAGGATGACCCAAAGCTGATGTTGCTGCTTCAGCTGGCCAGGAGGCAACACTGCTGAGGAACAGGAATTCCGGGTTCCTGGAGCAGACATGAGCCCTGCTGCCAAGAGCACAACCCTCAGTGTCAAGGGCCAGGCTGAAAGGGCAAAGCTGATGTAAAGTAATCCAGCAACCGGTATCCACTTCTTAAAACATAGGGCTCACCATCAATGGAAGCTGTGTGTGTCTTCCCTGGAGAAATGGTACGGATCTTGTAGAAGGACAGCTGCTTGGCCAAAGTAAGGGAAGTGGCGTATGGCACCTCACAGTACGTCTGGGAAAAGACAGGCGAGTAAGCACAGAGCAGAAAAACCCCACACATTAATCAGCTAAGACCTACTCTAGCAGGTCTTGGCAGACCACAACATTAACCTAGACAGTCCCAACAACGGTATGGTAAAGAACGGCCAGAATCCATGTCACTGGCTAAGTCACACTCAAGCAACTCACTATTTCACTATCTTGGATCTGACATAAGCCCATAAGGCAGACAGCGAAATGAGGAACAAACTGCCTCTTCCCACAGTCCCAGTACCCTTGGAACTAACACACTGTCACAAAGCTAAGGTCCTATTGTCAAAGGACCACCGTTTGCCCATACACTACTGACCGCTGGGGGCTGGAGCCAGAGACCCAAACGCACTTACGTCATGGTTGATTATCCCCGACGTGCACTGATTCAGGCCCAGCTTGTTGAACTCGTTGAGTCCACATGCCAACACTTTGCCTGTCTGGGTGAGCAGGAAAGTCCCATCGCAGCCACAGTGAACGGACACGATGTTTAAAGTCTTTGGAACATCCACCTATGTGGAAAAAAATATACCCCCAAAAAATCAAAATCCCAACACCTACTACATAGAGGCTGGCATGTGGAAAATACATGGGGTTAGAGCAGTGGTTCAGCTAGTCTGGGCACTGACAATACCCAGTTATTTTGAATGAAGGTGCAAGGATACCATGAGGTCTACAGCATATTGGAACTCCTGTCACAATGCAGAAATGTAAGGCCTTCTAGACCTTGTGTGCAGACACCGGTGAGCCAGCACAGGAGCCAGAACTGTGGTGCACAGGTCCTGGCCAGCTGGGCTCTACAAGCACCTGACCCAGTTAGCCAAGCAGGGCTGGGCCTGTGCTGGGTGGGTGTGATACTGCGTGACCACAGGTATTTGGCTTCCAAGCACAACCCCTGTTGGTTTCTAAACCCCCATGGGTTAGTTTACCTCAATCCCCCCTAGCACTGTATTTCAAGAGGGTCTCACTTCTAACTTTAACTCATTATGTCAAATGCAAAGACTCCCAGTTGTTTGCACTACTGCGAATTTCCTCTACAGCCCCGAGGTATACATTTTGGTATTTCCTACTATGATGTCTACAACATTAAGTTTGGCATTTCCAGTTCCAGCTTGGAGCAATGAAGCTCTAAGTCATGATGCTGTCTGGTTTGGGAGTGGCATGTCCCTCTGCCATGATCTCTCTGGACAAATGAGGCAAAATAAAGTGAGGAAGTAAAGTTAAAACCCTTGCAAACCCTATGATGCCTCAGAAAAAATACCTGAGCCTCAGACAGCTAATATTTCCAAACAGCAACTAATTAGGATTTACACCCATGCAGCTTTTGAGAAGTAGTCACAGCTCTACCTTCTGAGGGGTGTAGTGATCTTCTTCTGAATCCAAGCCCAAGCGCCCTGCATCAGTGAAAACACTGCAGTTAGAAACGGCCTCACAAGGTGCCTGCCCCTCACAAATGGTATTCTCTCTTCCGAGTCCGACAGCAACCTCCCTACAGAACTAGAAACCTGCGCCCCTACATGCATCGTCTGCCAATCCTCAAGGTAATCCAACCCCACTCAGCACAACTGCCCTACCCACAAGAAGCCAAGCAGCACACTAGAGCTTCCCAGAGTAAAGCCCCAAGGGCTCAGTCCCCAGTTCCTCATTCTTCCGAGGAAAGAAGCCCCAGGGAAAGTGTTCTCTGGCCCCAGGACATACCAGGCAGCCCTCACCCAAGCCCTGCACTACACACCTGCACCAAGCTGCTTTCTAGAGCGGGCACACCCTAGTGCCTTTAGGGTTCCAGGGAAATTCTACCTACCATACTCTCCACAGCCCCACGTGTAAACTTCTCTGTTTCTGGTCAGCACTGCCACGTGGTTATCTCCACACGAGACCTGCTCCACAGGGTTGGTAAGAAAGAAATCCAGCTGCAGGGGCTCAAGCACTTCAGAGCCATAAGCCTTGTCAACGCCAATGCATCCGTAATAGTCCGAGCCAAAGGCATACACCTGGCCCTCATCTGAAGGACACAAGGGAAGCTTGGTCAGCACAGAGCTTGTATGAGGCTCCACATTAACCTCTCAGGACATGGCCAGAGCAACCACTTTTCTGTAATCCTCTTCCTCTTTAGTGCAGAAGGATGTCATGAGGAGGATATGGAGTCCTTTCTTGTTCACATGAAGATGGATGACCTTACACCACAACCTGCAGCTATTTGAGGCCACCAGTGTAAAAAAAAAATCTTGGGTTGAACCTGCCACTTTCTTTAACAGAAACGCACAAATTGATCCTGTGGCTCCCTAAGTCACTCCTCCTGCACACTGAGCATCTGAGCTTATCTCTGTCGAACCTCTGCTTTTCCAGCACTGGCAAAATAAGCTGGAAACTACCTTGTTGAGAATTATGGTTTCATGGGTAAAGCACGATTCAAATTTTTCTGTAACAGACAACACCACAATTAAAAGTATGAGCAGGGTTAGAACTAGAGACAGCTACCAGGTGTCAAGCTTTCTGAATTAAAGAGTCAATCTCGGATACAGATCTTTTATCATTGTGTGACTCTCTCCCCACACAGTCTAAAAAGTTTCAAACACATTTACATGCTTGACCTCAGGGTCCTCTGGGGGCCACACGTACACTGATGAGTGCAGGGACTCTGCACAGCCACCCACAGCTGTGCTCAACACCCAGCTGCTCTGGTAATCTCACTGCGAAGGCAAACATCTCCACAGCCCAGCAAAGTGAGGGGACAGGGGTCCCCTCCCAGCTCTCACCAGTGATGCACACTGTGAAATCATCTCCGCAGGACACCTGGCGAATGGCTTTTCCCTGAAGCTTCTCAACATGCTTCGGCTGGCGGTAAGAGGCTCTGTCTCCATGTCCCAGCTGCCCGTGCAGCTTTGTGCCCCCCTGCATATTCTGCAAGACAGATACATCTGGTAAAGTTACATATCCACAACTCCAGGGATGGTGCCAATAGTTACAGCACCTGGAATGAACAGCAGAAGACAGAAAGGAGCAAGGGAAAGGGTGGCAGCTACCTCAGGGAAGAGACTGCTGGCTGCTCTGTGGCATAACAGCCGGCAGCATTCTAAACGTCAGCATAGGCTTTCAGGCAATTATGTACCAACAAGGAGTGCTCCGGTCTCAGGCCACCAGCTGGTGAGGGATCCCTGCTCCCTTCTCATCTCCCAGGCTACAGAACCCCGCTCCCTGCTGCACGACTGAAATTCATCCTTCAGCCTTTTGGCCTGCTTTTCTAAATCATAACGGCTGCAAAGAAACCCGTAACGTGAAGCCAATGTCACTGAAGTGGTCAGACCTGCCAATTCTACAGGAAAAACAAAACAACTCTGAGCAGTGTTGAAGCTAAAGCTAAAATATTAATAGCCAGCTCAAAGTTTCCAGTGGCCATTCTCAGAGGAGCATCCAGCAAATGACTTCATGTTGCTCTCCTCCCGTTTGGATCTCTTTCTTCTCTCACCCACCTACCAGTATTTTCTCAGGAAGGGGAGGAAGAGACGTCTGACTCAGTGTCTGGGCCTACAAGCCCACTGCGTAAAATCCTCAAGTGCACAGCAAGTCTCCAACACACTTCCTGTCACAATGGAAAACTTCTCCCAAAAGCACGCTTGTCCTGGGAGACTTGGGTCAACCCCGAAGCAGACGGCTTCACAGCGTCCACGGCAATCAGATTTCTCCTTTTCCAAGCTGCTTCCCCATCTGATTCTACCAGGCTCATGAAGGGTCAGCAGTGGATCCAGATGCTCCTCTCCCACCCTCACCCCCTTCCTGCAGTTTCTCGCACTTACCACCCAGGTGTAGAGCTCCTTCTCCACTGTCACCACAGCAAAGTGAGTGTTACCAGCACACACCTGGCGTGCACTGCAGCCACTTTTGATGGCATCCAGCTTCTGGGGGGTGGACTTTCCCCCTCCCCAAACATACACCTCACTAGTGCGCGAAGTCACCACTGCAATGGGAGCCTCATTCATGGTGCTTGACCTGCACAAGACCCCGCCCCCCCCAGACCACACATGCAGTTAATAATGAGTTTGCGTTCACTTCATCACTCATTTTCCTGCTGTTGGCTATCAGTTTCCCTTTCACAACCATTCACGGGTTTTATTTTCACAAACTGTTGTCTTGTTGAGTGGTTGTGAGGCCTCAATTGCCATAGTGAGACTCAGGATCAAACCTGTCTCAGAGCAGCAGAGGAAGCAGCCTCCAGGAAGCATTTTTAAAAGCCTGCAATTCAATTTTATGTCATTTAAAAAGACTGGACTTTCACTGAATGGCCATGGAACTGTTCACATTTGTGAAAAATGAAAGCCTTGAAAATGGTCATGAAATCTTGCTCAAAATACAGAAGCATTCAAAAGCTTCTAACCTCCCTCTCTCCTCTTTATTTAATAACAGGCTTCTGCCTGAAGGCAAAAATGTAACTCTTCCATGCAGGTAAGAATCACTTCCCAAGCAGACTGCAAAATGAAAGTTGTAACCGAAGCAAACTGTTTGCAAGCAACCCAGAAACTTCACATACAGTGCTCAGATAGTACTTCCAAGTTTATGAGGGGGGAAAAAAAAAAAAGGTCAAATTCTATCCAACAAACCAACAGAAAACCAGCTACACATGTCATGGAAGCTATCTGCTTCATGGCACAACCCTGCTTACAGTCTTACTGGGGACTGGGGAGAGCCTCTGCATGTATTCAGTTTTAAGAAATGTGTTTATATTCATTTAATATTCAACATTCAGTCGTATTCTTCATACTCCATGGAATCCGTGTGAAAGGAGGGATCTACACTACATCCTCAGGTACGCAGGCTGTAAAGACTACATCCTCAGTAGGAGAGACCAGAGCGGTATGGGACCTGCTGATGTAAAGCTCCAGCCATACATAAAGCAGGTTATAAAAGGCAGAGTAAAACGTGGGACAATAACCATGTAACAACTCTGTCAAATTCCTGGCATTTAAGGATTTTCTAAACTACACTACTTCATTAAGGTTGTCACAGACTAACACCCTCAGCAAAGTTCCTCTCTGGGGAGCTGTTCTCTCCAGAATTCCTTTCAACACATGCCCAAATAATTACCGTGGTCGCTTATTTGGCCCATTAAGCAGCGTGACTTTCTCTTCCATCTCCCTGTCAAAGGAGAAAAAGCAGTTAAGGAAACAGTAACACCGCCCAAAGCAATTCACTGACAAGCAGCACACAGAGATTCCTTTCTTTCCCAATAAAATGCTGCTCCCTCTTGGAGGAAATATGGCAGCTGTTTACCAGCCCACAGCAACACACACCAAGCAGGGCAGAAGTAAGGTACCATATAGCTAAGGAACCTCCAGGAGAGCTGAGGACAACAAACTGATCTGTGCCAGAATGTGGCCGACCAATACCCATACTGCAGAAGAATGACCTTAAATGGCTAAATATTATCAGGATTTGAGCTTTTACCAGTGCTTACAGCAAGACAAAACTCAAACTTTGTTGACCACTAGGTAGAAGAATCTTGGTATAAAGGAGTAAGCCTGGTGATCCCAAAGCAACCAATGTGGGGTCCAACCAGTCCAGAATTATGGTCCTCCTTTCATAAAAACGCAGCATGTGCAGGCTGATGGTCAGACTAAGCTAAAATGGGCCACTTTCAATGCAACTCTCTCCAGAGAAGGAGGCAACAAAGGAAGAAAGCAAGGGTCTCTATATTGCATGATATGTATATTCTGAAAGGCCTTTTCCAATGACCATCAGAGGATCCTTGTGACCCTTCGCTCAGACATGTGCGGAGCGGGAAAGATCATTCCTCAAAGGAGCCACAGAAAGGGATGCCTCAAGGTTCTCATTACCAACAGCTTCTAAGACAAAGGATGCAGAGACCTTTCTCACCATATCCATGCACCAAGAGAACACAGGGATTGGTCAGAAGACAAGACAGCAAGAATCACATCTTGCCTAATGAGGAGGAAGCATACTTCAACAACTGCCTCGCATCAGGCCAAGTTAACTTAAGGACTTGGCTACAAACGCGTCAATGCCACTCGTCTGCACACAGCCTCTTGTTCTCCCTGACACCTGCCCAGGTTTCAGGCAAGACCATCTGATTACCTCCTGCGTTTGCTGAGGAGGGGATGTTCAAGCAATTCATCTGCAGTGGGTCTCTTCTCTGGATCCTGAAAGAAATGAGCAACAGGTTGTTCTCTGGGAAATGCTCATCATCTACAACAGAATCTTGGGTCAGAAGACTTCATTCAAGCCTGCAAGGACCTCGTCCCCAACTCTCTTCAAAAGGGAAAGGAATTACTTCAAATATTTGGAATGAATAAGGGTAAATTCTGGGGATGTGCAGGATGGACTTCCATGTTCTGAAGGTATCAATACTACATTTGTTTTCAAGCAATTAATTCCCTACAGAAAACCAGAGTCGCGGCCAGAAAGCCAGAACCTTAAGAGACTACTGAGACGATGCTCCCACCTCCGCAGCTCTGCATTAGGAAATAATTGCTTCTGCCAGCCCATTAAATAACTGTTGTCAGAGTAAACTCAGCTCCCTCCAGAGCCCGCAGGACTGAATGGCATCTTGAGACAATGCCTTCAGAGGACTGGAGGAAGCCCAGCCTTAGTGATGCCTCAGGCCTCACAGAAAACACCCTGCATCAACAGCCCTCATACTGAAACAGGCACATCATTCCCCTTCACCCCTGAATTCCACGGCTTAGGCAGCTGGGAAGGGCTGTCTGAAAATTAAAGAAGTATTTCACCAACCTGATCAAGGCAGGAATTCACCATCTGGATCAGGTCCCGGGAGTAGACAGTGGAATCAACCTCCATGGCGCGATTTCCCTGTACAATCTTCACACAGAGGTTCAGGGGATTCTAGGGAGAAACCAGCTGTAAGGGAACTGAACTGGACAATGTGTCCAAAGGGGAGAGATGCTACATGCCACTATTAATTTCCTCCTCCTCCTCTAATCAGGACACATTCTCCTTCTTCCCTGCTTAGTAGATTCTCCAAAAATCTAATAATAATGCTTGCAGAAATGGTAACTTGGACAGCTAGGACTTGGTGGCAACATCCAGCTTTTCTAATTCCTTAACAGCGGAGGGAGGACAGCTTTCTCTCTGCATGGAATCTCCTACACAGCATCCTGCCACTGGAACACCACTCAGCAGCAGAGGTAGGCATGATGAGAGGAAGTCAGGAAAGGATGGTATTTTCACATCAACTCTTCAAGTGCTACAAAATCTTGCACCATGGCAGCCAGCAGCTTTTCCCATCTCATGGCACAAGGTGGCCAATCACATATACCAACCCGCAATGCTCCCTTTCACCCTCTCCATGCCAGCTTGACCACACTTCTCTTGCGTCCAGACTCGGAGAAAGGTAACAGGATTAAATCCTATGAAATCCAAAGGCTGGATGTTTTTGCTACAGAAAGCTGTGCAGAAAATTCACAGCTAGTAATGCTGAAAAAACACCAAAAAAACTGCACAAAAACTTCCCCTCTGTGGAGAAAAGGATGTTTCATTCACAACCATGATACACATTAGCATAACTTGTATTCTGCATCAGGTAAACCCAGGGCTGCAGACAGGGGTGGGTTTGGCAGAAGCCAGTGCAGGGCAGAGAAAATCATGCAGACATTTTCTCTGGCTACAGCTGGCACTCCCAGGCCACTGTTTTCTTAATCAGCAGATTTAAACAACAATGAAAGAAAAACATGAGTTAAGAAAGCCATGAGCCAAGTGTGAAGCTCAGGGTGATAAAAAAATAAGGTTACTCAGTCCATCCTGGTTTGCAGACTTACAGTAGCATCAAAGGTCCTCTTCAGAGTAAGCAGCTCAAAGATGACACAGCCCACTGCCCAGATATCTGATTTGAAGTTGTACTTCACACCCTGGCAGAGTTCTGGGGACATGTAATACGGAGTTCCCACCAGCTAGGGAAAATAACATTTAAAAAAACAGATCAGTTCAGGACCTCTGCCTCCATCATGTTCACACAGGTCTGAAGTGACAGAGATGACACACCCCACCAATGTGATGGAGGGATGGGAAAAACAAGCCTGTTTCTTCCCTTCTTGTCCACAGGCCTGTGCCTGCATTTCACAGATGACCATAGCCACCTCTCTGCTCAGATCCTGATGAGGGACATCTCCATAGAGCAGTCATGAGAACACAGCAAGGACTTGCTCCTCTCTAAAATGTATTACATTTAGAGGTAATCGGAGGCTTACGTACTGACCAGGCATATGAAAACCCTCCCAAGAGGTCGAGAGAAAAGGAATCTAGCAAAGCTTCCAAGCACAGAGGCCAGCCCATGGCTACGGAGCTGCTCTGTCTGATCACGAGGTACTGCCAGGACAAAAGCTACTCTGTGCCCAAAGACAGAAGGGTTACTTTTGGGTCAGTAAGTAGAAAGCTGGCCTGAGTCCCACCTGAAAAGCTTTCACTTCAGAAGTGGGCTTTACTGAACAACCCGTTTAAAACAAACACCCCCCACCACACACAAATATCCCAAAACCCAGCATTTAAACACAGCAGTCCTCCCAGCTCCAACTTAGCTTGAAGTCACAACAAGGAGACACAGAACAAACACGATAAAAGGTGTAAGAATGAAGCTTCCAGATGAACGGAGCTCATTCCCAAGCAAGCGAAATGAGATGAAAAAGAGAATTTAGAAGAAGGGGAAATATTTATAGCTGCCCTCCTTTCAACTGTCTCAGCAAAGCTCCAAGGACTACAAAGGTGGCCTTTCATGAGGCTCTGCTGCACACGACATACCTAACAGGCACATTCCGAACCTGCCATCTCCCTCCCACCTCCCGTTAGAGTGTGACAGCTGCAGAGCTACGCGAGTCCCAGCCACGGGAAGGTTTAGAAGCCCACCCAGATGGAGTGTCATGTGGAGAACTAAGACACTGCACCTAAGCCTCTGTTAAGCAAAGCACAATGCAAGCTTTCTGCAGGAAAGACTCGGACGTATTTTCTGCATCTTCCTTGGTAAGTGGGTAAGTTAAGAAATAAGCGTTTAATAAGCACGACATAACCATTTCACAAGACCGTAATTTGACTGTTACGATTACAAATACCGACAATAACATGTCTTGCCCTCATTTCACAAAAAGTGACTTCCACACCGCCACTGGCCACGAGGTCACAATTTGAGCAGCTAGCCCAGAGTGCAGCCGGCATACGCAGAATGAAACACAGCTGCAGGTATGCAGTTCAAAACTTTTCAGAAGTGAAAAAAACCCCAGTTCGAGGTAGAGATGAGCACACACAACACGGGCCAAAACAAACCAGGAACTTCACAGCACAGGCTGTGCTTTCTCTGAATGCCGGAAGGACACGAAAAATGCGAGATACAGAAATGGCTTTGCTGCAGCCCAGCTTAGCGAGGGCTTTCCGCAGCAGTCTTGACTTCCCACTCACTGTGCAACTGCCCAACAGTGCTCGTGTTCTGGAAGGAGGTTGGCAAGTATTTAACTCCGCATCCTAACAGGACACCAACAGCTTGCGTTAAATCTAATAACACAGCCTGGTAAGGGAAGTGCGAGCTGGCTTTCATCCCAAAATACAGTAAAGGCCTTCGGCAGACAGGAGCTCCAGGCACTGGATGATCTCCAAGGTCTTTTCCAACCTAGTGATTCTATGATTCTATGATCCTAGTGTTTACCACAGAAATTAACGGAGTTGGGAAATCCAGGCTGAGACTTTCAGGGGCCTGCAATACAGCTTACCCTGTGTCCTAACTCTGGCTGAGAAACTGCTTTCTGGAAGGGTCTGGAACAAAGCCAAGCTTGGCAGTCTTCTGGTAGAATTAATCTCTCCTAGACAGCTTTGTCCCCTCCAAGAGCGTTACCAATAAACCATACACCTGGTTACCATAAGAAGCACAAGTGCCTTTCTTGCTTCTTTATAATTCAGCTCAGAGCCTGAGTATTAGAGAGATGGAGACATATCTACGGCACGGTGCAATGTCAGGCAAGCACATCCAAGCTCTCTCGGATCCAGCTGAGGCAAAACGTCCCTGCTAGAACACTAGGATGACCAAATTAATTCAACTTGCTAAACTGGGCTTAACTAACCCAGAGGGAGAGCGCTGCACTGATGTGACTATACTGCTGTGCCTGTACCTTCGGACAGCACCACCTCCGTGTTGCACAGATCCACCTTTGGAAGCACCATGCCTAGGTACCAGGGAAAGAAAAGCAGCGCTCTCTAGCACAGCTTTACTGGCTCTGGCACACCTCTGTGCCCACAGTGGCACTTATCTTTAGTCTGCTGATGCTTTGCAGAGACACAGACTTCCAAAAGGTGACCTGGGGGCAAGGAGAACTCCAGGCTGCGACACACTAGCAAATACATCAAAGTCAGTGAGACAACACTAAGGGAAGATGAGGGGAAAGGGAAAGAAAAACCACAGAAAACAAGCAGCAAGAATGTACAGCATCCCTCTGCAAGGCACGCAGCGACCGAAGAAAAACACAGCTCAGTTTGCACACAAAGGCAGATACTCACAGTCTCAGCCATGGAGTACTCAGAGTTCAGCTTCTTTGCCAACCCATAGTCTCCCAGTTTAATCAGGTTTGCCTTGGTTAGAAAGATATTTAATGTCTTTATATCTCTGAAAGGAGAAAAAGACATGCAGACACTCAAATATATTTCTGGATTTCACAGTTTTCCACGCGCTACTGTACCTTCTCCCCTGCAATGAGGTACTTGCTACTCTGCCAGCCCTCGCGCTCACACACACAGAGCTCTCCAAAGGCAATTTGACCCCAAGTACTGGGGCAGTCACTGCAGTTATCCGTGTTTTATCACATCCCCACGCAAACAGAACACAGTCTAACAAGCTCAGGCTCCAGACACCTATGCAAAGGCCACAGATCAAAGATAGCTCTTTCCCCCCCTCAGTCTCTTCTCGTATGAAGGTCATTGAGCAGGTCTTATTTTTCCTGGTTTTATAAATAGGCCCAAGCCAGGAGACGCTGAGCTTACTAAAAACACTAATGTATGCATGAATATGTATGTATGCAAATGTAAACACACACGCAGAGGGCGTGAAACAGATGCCACTCTAGAACTTAAGCGTAACATCCTTATGCCTCAAGAACAACTCTTTATGACATGATGTACTATGTCCAGATGGCCAAAAGGCTGATGGCCACAGAAATGCTGAATTCCAAAATTCATGGAAAACACCTTCTCCCATCTCCCAGACAGAATAATTCCTATGTAAGAGGCTATAAATACAGAGAGGAAGCTTCTGCAGTATGATATGCTTCCCATGGCCAAGACTTCATAACACCCACTTTTCCTAACGTACCATCAACAACTTCCCAGTGTAGATCAGGACAACGTCAAGTAAAGCAGCACTTTGCATTCATCCACCTGGGGCATCGCAAAGGCCTGGATCACTCTGACAATGTCTGCAGCAGCAGGAAATCACTGCAAACATTTAAATAACTCTTCAATTCGTTATTATGGAAGGATCTGGGGCCACACATGTCCCTAGACTGCGAACCCTGCTGTGAAGATGGGCGACAGAGGTGGTAAGCAGGAAACCACTGCAAAGCAGGACAGACACAACATCCACTTTAGGTCAAAAACTTGACCTAAAGTCAAGTTCTACCTTGTTGAGTGTAGGGTACCAACCCTTTATTAGCAAGGCTTGCCAGTTACCAAAGGTTTAGAATGGCAGCAACCAGGATGCTATCCCAACAGAACGCATCCTCACACAGCTATGCTCATTAGTTAGGGAAGGCTGTTGCGCAGCACACAATCCAACCACGCTGGAAACAGCTGTCTACGTGTGCAGTACTCCCCAGGTCATCACGGCCTCCTTGAAGCACGCCGAAGCCATGAAATTTACCCCTCCCAAACGGAAAAGGGCAACAGAAAAAGGTAATTAGCCACTCATTAAAGTCTCAGAGTCAATGTCAAAATTACCACCACCAGCTAACAAGCTGCATTACTTCCTTAAATAACAGGCTGAAGAAAATGAGATTCAGCCAAATGCAGAACAACTCTTTGCATGGGTTATACTGCAGGAACGCACCACCGAAAAGTCCTCACCACTGTTAGCCTCCTGGAATTACAGAAGGGATTACAGGAATTACATATTGCTTCGAAGTTATTAACTGTGGAGAGCACAGGAAGTACCTTTGGCCTGTGGTAGCTGCTCTTCCTACCCACTTCAGCAAACAGCATTTATGTGCTATGGCAGTAAAGAGCCAATTTACTTCCTTCCTTCATGGATTAACACTTTGTTCACAAACCTGCAGCATCAAAGGCAGCAGTTCTGTATTATATACAACATTTCCTGCACATTTATCACAAGATGGTTTCTAGCCCAATAAAAATTCTTTACAGAAGTGATACTTAACATCTAGGCAGTGCAGCTGTGCTTTGGACAGAAGCCCAGTGCTCGCTTTAAACATGGAAACAAAGGCTGCTCGAAGGAGTTCTGCACTCATATCCACGAACCGCACCCGTTACCTGGGCCTTACCGCAAGCCACGCTTACCTGTGGAGGATTCCTGCCCGATGAATGCAGCTCACAGCTGACGCGATTTGAAAGAGATACCAAACCACCATCTGCAAAGGCAGGAACAAAAGCCTTATGCGAGGCTCAAAAATCCCCCCAAAACCCTACACATCCCTGTCACACAGAGACACAGAAAGAGGGCTCTTTCAGGAGTATGAAAATTTATAATTTCCTGGTTTGGAAAATTCTGAAAAGATATTCCATAAGGTAGACTGTTCTAGTGCATAGTGTGTGTCTTGACAAGCGTCACAGAACTCACTGAGTGAAAAGACTTAGGAATGGCAGGTGATGACTGCCTGGGAAAGATCTACAGTTGGGCTCTCCGGAAAACGAACTGGGACCTTTTAATATTCACCAGGAGCCAGAAGGCCTTAAAAACCTTTAAGGTCTTAAAAACCATTATATAAGATAAATAAGTGCAATCATCAACCACCTCAGCATGAGGTGGAAGCAGAGAGCAGAAAATAAAGTTAAAAAAGAAAAAGGAACATGAAAAAAAATCTACAGTGAGACAGGTAATTACTCAGAAAAGAGCCTATGAAGCGGTTAAGAAGAGAGAGAAATTGAGTACCAACCAGGAAGAAACACAGAAAGAGATTTTAAAGTTCAATGTTAGCCAGGATGATAAGGTGACCAAAGTCAGTGGAGCACACTCTATCATTATTCCTCCCCTGAAAGCTTATACTGCTTAAGGACAGCCAAAAAGGAAAATAAAAAGTTCCCCACAGTCCACAAATCCTTGCAGCATTGAACAGGAGAGGAAGGATGTCAGCCCCCAGATATACACAGAAATTCCCCGTCAACACTACAGAAAAAATTTTGTATAAATACCCAGATAACCAGACAGATCCCCAGAATATTAGACCAACCCCACTGCCCCCTCAAACCATTCCAAATTACCTCTTCTTCAAATAGCTTGTCTTTCTGCCGCAGAATCTTATCGTAGAGGTTCCCTCCTGGAATCATAAGTGAGCGAGAAAGTCAGAGAATTCACCTTAGTTAATGGCAGCAGTTACTCTGCTCAGGTACTCCTGGGAATACTCAATTTCCCTAAGGGACCTGATGAACCACGACAGCTCTCCCTCAGCGCTCTTCACTTAAATTGGCTGGACACCCACAAGATTGAGTTCTTCTTTCATCTAAGAACTCCACTAGCATAGCTAAGCTTAGGCAGAGATGATTCTTTTTTTAACACCACCCTCTAACGCCCTCCAAAAAGTGAATCAGTAAGATCGGCCAGCAGTCCCCACTTTTTCACCTGTGAGTGCTTCTTGGGATATGTAAGCACTTCAAACCTGTACACCAAATCACATGAGACTGTCCAGCTCAGCATTATATACAAAAAAATAATACCTTAAGAACACGTGTATTTTTTTTACAGTTGCCCTGCCAGCTACATCGGTGCAGAATTCACAGAGCGCTGACAACAGTGGCACCGCCAGCAGCCGCCTGACATCAGCAGCCTCTTCAGGGCACCTCACAGTTTCAGGATGGCAAACTGAAAATCACAGAGAGCTACAAGAAATGACGCTGGGGGCTCTGCAGGCAGCGAGACTCCCTGTCAGATTAACATTGTACCAGTAAATCCCAAATCTCTGATCACAGCCTGTTCCCAATTACCATACATTGTGTCCCAATAGTACCGGAACACCAGGCCCTTTCCCATTCCCAGGGGTATGGTGCAGGACAACTTTCTGCTGTACGATTTCCATGGGCCTGTCAAGCTGCAGATGTAACCTGCTTTGGACAAGAGATCCTTTGCCTCCTTGAGGGATTTATTTCAGACTTCCATGTTAGGAAGATTCTTCTGATACTCATATTAAGATTTCCCTTGTATAATTTCTTCTCATTCAGACTTGCTATAACCTCTCAACATTTCTTTTTTCTGCCTTATGTTCACATTTGCGAACTATCTACAAATCACTCTTCACATTCACAATTTAACTGAAGTATCCACCTTCGCCTCTTCCTAGGAGCTTCTTTCCTAGCGATTCGGACTATGCTTTTAGTGAATTCTGTTCCTCATCTTTTTTTTGCAGCTTTTCTGAACCAAAGAGCAGCACGACAGGTACCACATCTCCAAAATCCTACACAAGGACACAAATTAGCTCTTGACTCAGCTAACCAACACCTCTGTGTACACATACTACAAACAAATTACTTTCTTCTGTTTCATGTGATCACATTTAACCTCCTGACATGCTATTCTCTCTTCAACAAATGTATTTTATAGGATATTTCTTCCCAAATCTATTTCAGATGTATTCACTGATGTTATCCCATGATAAATCCAATGTATGTGTGGATGTTCTGTATTTGTATATGTGATATGCATACAGAACTACAGGCAAACAAATCAGTAACTTTGCTGCCTCCCTTGTAAAAAGGGGGACAATATTTACTCAGATTTGAAAGTCTTTCCTAGATCTCTACAAGAGACGTGCCAATTAAACAGTAAAAACTTTGTAGTGTGACAGCGACTAGTCCAGCCTTACTTTAAAAATTATTCATCTATTATCTTGGACTTGTACGCTGTAAAAAAAGCCCCATAAATTACTATTAACACACTGGCAAAATCAATATCCAGAACTGTAAACGAGACTCCCTCTTCTTCATGTCCCTAGTTCTGCGCTGCTCAGACATATTCAAGCAACACAGGCTACATACTCATCTCTTGGTTGTTGTCCCTACGTAAAACAAACAGTTTAGAGACAGTAACAAACATGTACATACTATGTGGCTTCTGTGACTGACAGGGAATTTATAATGGCCCCAAGCAGTCTTTCTGGGGCAGCTAAATAACTCACGCAGAGTACTCCTAAAATAAACGGTGCACCAAAGAGCTAACATCCCCCTACCCTTGCACTGGACCCCAACCCTGCATAAGTACAAAAAGCAAAGAAGCAAAAACCAGCTTTGGCCAACCTGCCAAACGGGGTGTTTGACACCCTTCAAAAACACTTTGCACAAGCCTGTTGTCCTCCCCAGCCTGTCCCACTGAGAGCAGTCTGTCTCAGATGGTAACAGCATGACCACAGCCTTTGGCACCAAGAAGAGTTTCTGCTGATAAGCCAAGGCCTAACACAACCCCCAAACACACACAGGACACCAAGCCAGGGGAGCTGCCCACTCATCCAGCGAGGACTCACACTGCAGTTCTAGGTGGGTTATCCCATTCCAGCAGTATCAGCTGTACATGGCCTCCTCTTGAGATGCCTGACAACAGCTGCAACTCCCGTATCAAATCCTTCTCCCTCTCCAACCCAGCTGGGAACCCTGCAAACTCCATGCAATACCATCTGATCTACTCTAGGATGGACCTTTAAAGTTTTCTCTACCACCAGAAGGACCGGATTTTGGTTTTTTAAAAGCTGATAGCATGAGGCAGGAAAAGGTCCTGATTGCAGTGTGCCAGTGATTTTTAAGCTTCGATTTATGACTGCCAAATAAAGGGTTCTATTTAAGTGACGCTACTGACAAACAGCCCCACTCCGTACTAGCAGAGAGACCCAACTATCCTCAGGGTCTTTCCCCACTGTCCTCCTAAAAGAACACAGCGAGGGCATTAGAGAGGTGCCTTACCAATAACCCACTTCTGCTGCTGCACCAGCTCCTCGGAAGACTCGAGAAATCACCTCCTGCCTGAACTGCCTGCATTAACCGCTGCGCTTCTTTCTCTGGCACCCGAGACCCAAACAGATCAGAGGAGTTCCCAATCTCTCCTTCAGGAGCTACACAGCACTCCACCGCTCCCCAGAGGGCACCCCAGGAATACTCCCTGCAGGTTCTGCAGGAGGGTGACAGCAACTGTGGCAGCGGCCTGTTTGTAAGCGGGAGCAGGGATCTCACCATTACAGTACTCCAGCTCAATCAGCAGCGTGGTGTTATCCATGAAGTGATTGTAGTACGCGATGATGTTCTCGTGCTGCAACAGGGCAAGGATAACGATTTCGTTCAAAGCATCACGACGCTCCTTTTCTGACAGCCGGGTCAGGTCCACCTCCTTCCACACTACAAGTGAGTCATCCTGAAACACAAAAACATCTTCTAATTAAAAACACACTATGATGACAAGAACAGTATGTGCCTTTACAGCAGGAAATTAAAATTTCAAGGAAGGTAAAGAGACTTTCCTGCCTCTTATAGATTTCAGTCAGAGATTCTTCACAACAAGTTCTGAGGTTTTTCTGTTTGTCGCCAGGAATAGCGATGGCCTGCAGCCATCTTTCTAGCTGGCCTGCAGTTGTTTTGGAAAAAACCCATACCAAAATCCCCCCAAAACCTAGAATGTTTCCAGGGAAAGACATAGAGATTGTTTTGCTTCACTAAAGACTAAACATATTCCGGTTCAATAAAGGAAGAACGGTGTATTTCCAGTCCCATAACTGTAGGATATTGTACATGACCGTAAGCTGTTACAAACACCCAGGTATTCCTAAAAAAAAAAAAAAATCCAAAATGAAGGAAAGGCAAACAAATTTAGTTTGCCCTTGTCAGGCCCACTCATACTGTCAGACACACTACGAGCGATCCGTTCAGTGAACAGCGTTCACTCACAACCGTTCGAGCTGTGATGCCTCAGGGGGGTCTTCCCCCGGAAAAAAACTTTAAGAACTTCCCCTGGGAACCAAGTCAAGCAATTTTCCTTGATGGCCGCTAAAAAGCACAACTATGACCCAACTGGATGGGTTTAAGCAACTTGGGAGCAGCAGGAGGACTGGCTTTTCAGCTGGCTTCCCCCGATCATGCTGCAGTGCTGATCAGGCGGATGAGTGACCTGTATGAGATGCGCCCATGTCCTCTGGGACTGGAATAAAACAGAAAAACGAGGAATGTATTAGCCTCAGAAAGGCCTCCACATCTCCCTGTGAAACTTTAGGGGACCGAGAGCCTTGGCAGCGCTCAAATGTGCCAAGACCCAAACCCTGCGCCCCTCGACATCGAGGGCTGAGCTGTGCCCAGTGCCGGGGGCTGTCACCCTGTGGGCTGGGGTCCCCCAGGGCGCTGTCAGTCACCCCTGGGGGCTGT